TAATGCTCTTATTATCGACAATTGTTTTGGTACAAAAGGCATATGTTATTTTGCTAAAGTCAATGTTAAGTTGATTTTGTATAATAGCAGGACACTAACTCAATGTATTTTTTTTTTGTTTGGTAAAAGTTGTTTGGGCGATTGTAACCACAACCAGTCTATGATGGCGCCACTAGTAAATAGCGGGAAAATTTAAAAATGCTTTAGGGCATGAAATTCAAACATGGATTCAGAAATAAATAGTTTTTCTATACAAATTTACAGGAGAAACAAAAATTATTGTTAAAAAATGTAAAAGCTTCCAATAACATCAAATTTTTTATCATACAAATAATCATTTTAATAAAGGAAGTTTTAATCAGTTTAATATAAGCAGTGAACATAGTTTTTATTACTCTTGTAAATTTCGCTAAAAAAAACTTAAAATTTCTATTGGTTATTAAATATTTAAACTTGGAAAAATAATACACCAGACTCTTTTTCTATAAATTATATTTTTGTAAGGTACAGAAAAAACAAACTACAATTGCTACGTTTAAAAGAACCTCGTATCATTTTGTGACAAATTACAAAGAAGTCACAGTTGTTATATATTCATAATATATTTAAAAAATAATGTAATAAATATTTTATAAAGTATAGAGTATATCGATGCCATTTTGCCAGACTATCATGTGCCATTTGAACAAATGTTGCTTACGTTAGTATGGCAAAAAGGTATTGATATGTTATGACTGTTTATTTTAATAGAAACCATGGAAACGAAACAAACACACATACACTCACACAAATGTATAAGGCCTGAGTCGAGTAAGTTCCTATCCTGTAAACTGGATCGAAACCTGCTAGACCCATTCCGTCCACCCCCCTGCTAACTCCTCTTGGGGTCATCAAGATCAATAGATTTATATGCCATGCCTTCTAAAAGGGAATGAAGGATGACATACTATCATCATTTAAACAGGACGTTGCTGAAGGCTTACCCTTGTTATGGCATCTGTTTGTGTATCTTGTGCATGTAAAAGTCATGTAAAAGTTTTCCTAGTCCTAATTTGGTGACTAAGTGGACCTTCTCCAACTAGTCGTCTAATCTATTTGATCTGCTCTGCAGTGCTTTTCAATGCATCCTGATTTAAAATTCTGCCCTTTTGTGATTCAATTTTTTTTTCTTCGTTTCAATGACTCTACAATCTTCTAATAGTCACTATATTGGCTATTAGAGGTATGTGTATGTAAGAAATAGCCCACCTTTATTCATTTCAAAAGTCCTTTGCCAATACTACATGTGGAGAGATTTTTTACTCAGCATACATTTTACTTCTTTTCTAATAGGTGGGAACTGTGTGCTGCCATTAAAGCTGTCGAAACATTCAGCTACCTACTTAATGAACAAAAGTAGCTATAACAATGGATCTCAGTTCCAATTCACCTAAAATAATTATAGCCATTGGTTTTCTTAATAAATTGGAAATTACCTCTAGAAAGAAGCGTGTACAAAAACGCGAGTTTGGTTCCAGAAACTGCTTTATGCAAAAAATAATATGCGAAAATAAACATTTCCACCCCCCCCCCAAAATTAATTAAACAACAAAATGAGACTCAAAGAAATAAAGGAGGCTCAAATTAAATTAATTTTAATAAAATATACACGTTCATAATAACATTCGGAACATTATCAGTTCTAATCTATACGTCACATGTCGACGTCAAAAAACCAGCAACATCAGCGACCTCTAGGACTGATGTTATAGCGTCTTCGATTCCACTACCCGCCTGCGTGGAGTGCACATAAAAGATGAGCGATATATCGATACCGGTTACATTTCAGATTGAAAAGTAACTGGTATTAGATTCGAAGACTCTATTAGTTTTATTGCAAAGAGATAAATATATGTGTAAAGATCAATGTAAAAGAGAAAGAAAGTCATTTAAATGGACCACCAAACAAATTTTCCTATTAAGTTACACGTCTCTATTATCTCTGACTCGACCCATATAATCTGGATATCCCTTTAGTCTAAATCGCACACCAGATCAGAACTTTATTAACGAATTTCGTTTATTTCTTCACGTTGTACATTCGTTGATTATCAAACGGTTTCTTTGTTCAGAGGCCAATATACCAAGACCAATACGCCTATAATGCAGGGATATCAACTGAAACAGCTCTCCATCAATTAGTAAAAGGGGTGAAGAACACACTGGAAAACAAGGAGGTAATGCTCCTCCTCCGTTGAACCGATCATTAGATCTCTCAAACACAGAGGAATCGAGGACACGTGCGTGTCCTGGATCGACTCTATGTTAAGGGAGAGAACTATACACACAACCCTTATGGGAGAGACAATAGCGGCACGGGTAGCGAGAGGATGTCCGCAGGGTGGAGTGCTGTCTCCACTCCTGTGGAACCTTGTAGTAGACGGGCTGGGATATGCCGATGATCTAGTGATCATGGCACAGGGAAAATACAACACTATAGTAAGAGATCGAATGCAAAAGGCTCTAAATATAGTAACAAAATGGACAGAGGCGGATGAACTAAACATTAGCCCAAACAAATGTGACATAATTGCATTCACCCGCAGGAGGAAATTGGAGGGACTAGGGCCTCTAAACATAAGAGGTGCAAGCATCCAGCTTAAGGGGGAGGTAAAATATCTCGGGGTTATGATTGAATCGAGACTTACCTGGAACCTGCATCTAGAAAAAACTACAAGGAGAGCGAAAACCTCGTTAATGATGGCAAGGCGATTCTTTGGAAAAAAATGGGGGTTAAAACTAGACATGGTATATTGGCTTTATAACATGGTGGTGAGACCAATAATAACATAGGCAGCTTTAGTGTGGTGGCCAAAGACACAGCAAAGGAAAGCAATAACGAGGCTAAGCAAGGTACAAAGACTTGCCTGCCTCGGAATAACGGGGGCAATGAAAACAACCCCCACAGCTGCAATGGAAGCACTAATAGGACTCCCACCTCTTCACTATGTGATACAAAGGGAGGCAAGATTAGGTATTTACAGATTAGGAAATACACTGGGAAATCTTAACATTAGGCCAGGTCATATGAGTATCCCAAGGTTAGACATGAGATCAGACCACATAACCAAGAGGTATTCTTTCAATACTCCATTTGAGGTTTTAATACAGGAAAGAGCGGAGATCACCATAAGAGAGCTCAATGCCCAACGACAGGAACAAACCTGGTATACAGACGGGTCTAAGACTGCAGAAGGCACTGGGGCGAGAGTATTCTCCAAAAACCCTGATACTAACCAAAGCTATACTATAAGAATACATTTCTCGGTATTTTGCCGAGGTATATGCAATTTTGCAATGTGCAAAAACGAACAATGAAAGAGCTGTCGAGAATCAGCATATTCAAATAATGTCAGACACCCAAGCGGCACTTAAGGCCATATCGAGTCAGAAAGTTACGTCGACGCTGATATGGGAATGCATCGAAGAACTAAGAACACTGGCAGACCGAAATAGAGTAAAATTATTTTGGGTGCCAGGTCACCAAGGGATCGAAGGCAATGAAAAGGCTAACGAACTTGCAAAAAGAGGGTCAGAAGAAACACCGGAACCAGACACAAACCCAGGAGTTCCAAAAACTACAGTTCGGGGTTTCATAAACGACTGGATTCAGGAACAACATATTAACTATTGGGGAAGCACCCCAAAACAGGCACATGGAAAAGCCTTCATAGGCAGACCATGTCCCAAAAGAACTGGAGAACTACTTTTTATGAATAGGAACCAGTTGAAAGTGATAACAGGATTCCTGACTGGGCACGTCCCAGTAAAGGGCCACTTGAACAAAATTGGCACAAAAAACAGAAATGGCCAAACACATACTGTGCAAATGCGAAGCTCTAGATCGCAAAAGACAGGCACTTTTTGGACAACCCCAGGTTGATCCAACAACGTATAGAACCCACTCACCCAAGGATTTGTACAAACTTGTACAAGGTACAAAGGTGACAGAGTGGGTGCTATGAACTAATATGGGGTAAAACACAATAAGCCAATAGGCTTCAGTGTTATTCAGAGACATAGTCAGACGAGCCCAGGAGAGAAAAAAGCCTTTGTTCGCAATTGGAATGAAAAATCAATATTTTATCGAAAAAGATTCATTTATTAAAAAACTTAGAGCCGATCTTTTCACCTCTGACTAAAGATACATGTAGGTTTACTTGACAGATTAACAAACAATAGCTCTATATAGTTTAACCAGCCAGTAGTTACTTCCAGCTTTACTCAGAGGTGAAAAGATTCACTCTTAATTTAATGTTTTTTTTTTCTAAGAATACCTTAATTTATCGATATCTACAGATCAATTTTAAATATAAATATTATATGTTCATTGTCATTTTCTTTTCTGATTATGATAAAAATTAATTTATCGAAACATTGGCACCAAAAAGAATTATTAAAGGACTAAATTTTTATTTATAAATTGTGAAAAGAAAAAGATACTTTAAATAAAATTTTATTTAAAAGTTTTAAAATAAACAATTTCATTTTATTGAATCATTGGTTTTATAGTATGTACAAATTCGCAACTTTCTCTTTTTAATTGTTCGACAAGTCTTATAAAATGGATCGATTTAAAATATTTAAACATTTTATATACTCTTTGAAGTATTGCGTGACTTATTATTGCATTATAACAAATTTATTCAAAAAAATGTATTTTTTATTCACTTTTCTAATGCAGCATATTCAAATTTTAATAAAAAAAAACATTTAGAATCGAAATTTGGTGAAAAAAAAAACGATTGTACCTAGTTTTTTTTATCGCTTACTTAATTACATTCTTATTAATAATTTTATCGTAAAGATCTATAATAATGTACTCATAAGCTTCTTCGGGTAACCTTAGAACCGATTGGGGATCAAGCGTTAGAGGGGGGAACAATCGAGGGGAAATCTAAAAACACAATGTCAAATTGCAAGTCCCCCCTTCGTTGGAAATGCATCTATCCAATCTTCTGTCTCTGTTGCTTTGTTAACTCTTGTAAAGTTTGATTATATATTTCTTGCAAACTAATTTTGTAATTAATGGTTAGTCGGCAAGGATAGCAAGATAGAGGAGTGAAGTGTACAATAGTATTAAAAAAATTTGTTGAATTGAAGGAGTTTCTTTTTTGGAGGAAGCCTCAGTGAGTGCAAAATTTTTTTGGGTATTTTCTTTATTTTTAAAGGGTATGGTGTTCTAATTTTTGTAAATATATGCATTTTTGCGAGAATATATTTCGTTTTTAAAAATTATTGAAAATCACTGATATTTTATAGCTATAAATTCTTTTACTGAAATTTTACTTTTTTAATTTATTCTTATTATTTGGGAGTAACATTATCTTTTTATGTACATAATATTTATAAATGCATTGCAAATTATTATTTTTATTTCTTTTTTACTTAATTTTCACTAATATTAGTGACTTATTCAAGTCAATAAAGAGGAAAACTTTGAATTTATTTGTAATAACTTTCAGTGCTTTTATTTTCTGTTTATTTCAATTTAATGCGGTACAAATTTTTACAAAAACATTGAAAATATGAATAGATTAGTTTTTTCACATATACAATATTTTTTCTACGACCACAAAATTATTTCATCAAAAAATGTAAAACCAAAAAATGTATGGAGTTTTAATCATGTGACTAGTTGTAGATTTATTTTTTAAACGCCTTTTTGGTTTTGCATAATTTTAAATAAACAATATGATTTTATTTACGAACACTTTCATAGGATGATAAGGGTGAAATAATATTAGGTACAAAAATATTAGAGTTAATTTTCTTTAACTTTTTTTATTATTAAAGATAGTACCTACCTAGTATAAAATAGCGAAAGTATTAATGAATTGCCTAACAGTTGAAGCTATGTTTTAATAAATAAATAACAATGTACGTATCTTTTTCAATTTTCATAAATAAAAAAAAGTTTTTATCGGGATTTAAACCTATGTCGCAAAATCGCTGAAATTTAAAAGTTCAACGCTCAACTATCTGAGCCATTAAGGCTTGTGTCAGGTGAATTATCTTATCAAATATATATATTAACCAAAAAAATATATTTTAATTTGTATTTAATTACTTTTAAATTATTTTAAATAATTTTAAAGGGGGTTAAAGGGGGTTAAAATATTAAAAAATTATCTCAAATATGATATCAACTTGAAATTTTTAGCAAAAGTCTATTGATTTTGAAAAAATCTAATCAAAAATGGAGGGTTGAAAAGGGGGTTGAAATTAAAAAAAATCATAAATTAAAAACGAAAAACAACATCAACATAAAATGTTTAGTAAAAATCAAGCTCTATAAGAAGATGAAGCCTATTGATTCTAAAAAAAATTAAAAAAAAATTAAAGGTTAAGGGGGGGGTCGAAATATTTAAAAAAAATCCTAACTAAAAAACAAGCTCTACTGAAAAACTGGGGTTGAAATGAAAAAATAGAAATCACAAACCATAAGCGATATCAACATTAAATGTTTAGTAAAAATTAAGATCTATAAGAAAATAAATAAATAAATAAAAATAGGGAGGAGGGGGTCGAAATATTGAAAAAAATATAATATATTTGGAAGAGTGGAGCCATTTTCTATTTCTGAGTGTAATTTTTTAAGTGTAGGAATTTCAGTTCGAAAAAAAAAGAATGTGCCGTTTTGCCTTATTACATTCTTTTCCCAAGTTTCAATAAAGATCTTGTTTCTTCCTGGAGGATTTTTCGGATGTGAGAATCCTCCAATAATTGTAACTTCTTTAATGATGTTATACAGTGAGCATCATAAGTCTTACCCCCCTAGCTAACTAGTTACTGGGGTCTTGTTAGGAAAATCGCTGAGACAGGTCGATTTTTGATTTTTACAATGTACATTTTTGCATGATTAGTTTACCCTTAATTTCATCCCTTACTGGAGGGTAGCAACCCTTTCGAAAAATTTAAATGGCATGGGGTGGTGAGTGATAGCTCATTTGAAAGGGGGTTTTATTCTCTATTCAACCGTGCAAAAAATTTTGAAATTTGCTTTATTACGTGACCTTCTAATGGCAAAAAGTTTTACTTCACGTCTGAACCAAAACCGAAATCATGCAGGGCCGAATTTTAATTCTAAGGATGAGTGCGCTACGTTAATTTTCGTTATTCTGAAACAACAATTAGTCGAGAATTAATGAAGCAAATTTCAAATTTTTTTACAGGGTTGAATAGAGAATAAAACTCTCTTTCAAATGAGCTATCACTCACCACCCCATGCCATTTAAATTTTTCTAAAGGGTTGCTCCCCTCCAGTAAGGGATGAAATTAAGGGTAAACTATTCATACAAAAATGTACATTGTAAAAATCAAAAATCGACGTGTCTCGGCGATTTTCCTAACAAGACTCCAGTAACGAGTTAGATAGGGGGGTAAGACTTATGGTGCTCACTGTATACTGTCCGCTTAGCGAAGCGATAATTTTCCCATAGCCGTGGAAGTTTGTACAACGAGGAGATAGGCGAGAGCCGTCCATCAAACGAGTGAAAAAATGCTTTACGTACATGTCTAAAGTTGTATTGATGCTTTAGGCTTATTGTATCTACCTCAGTTTTTATCCCATCAGGTTAATATTCTTCATGTATTTAAAAATATGTCTGATGGGCGCTTTAGCGATTTCTTTGAGTTTCGGATATTCTACCCCGAAGTATAATTATTCTGGACGTTGATGGACCCTCTTTGAATATTCTGGACTAACTGAGTCCAACAACAAGAGCGTATGACGTTATCTTTTTATCTGTTACCTCTGTACCATGTTGATATGAAATACCACATATGGGATTTGGTCTATTTAGAATTTTTAGCTCCCTTCCTCGTTAGAAATATTACTTTCTCATTTCTCAATACTCCCAGCACCCACTCAAGAGTGTTTTCTTTTATATTACCTGGGTTACTCTTGAGCAGTACTAGAACTGCTCCTGACTCTAACAGGACGTTCTCCTTCTCCTCTCAATTACTTGCTCGATAGTGGATGCAGAGAACTCTTTTCTTAACAATCTAAACCATTCTTTTTTGACGTCATATAGGGTTTCATTCACCAAGAATATTAAACCCTTAAAAAGAAGTGTCCTGACAGATCCTAAAGGGGCTGTTGACGGTCCAATATTACTTTGGACATAATAATATAAAAAATATCTTAACCTTAAACGATGGAAGCCTATTACTCTTGTTCACATCGCCTACATATAGATGTATCTAATCTCATCCTACCGTTAGACGTAGTTATATATCTCGTCACTATAGAGTAAGTAAGTCCAAATACGTTGACTTACTCGATATGGTAATTGTCAAGGTCATTGAATATGTAAACAAAGCGCTGACCTAAAATATATAATACCAAAACTGTAAAAATATGACTCGCTTTATTTTTCTTTTGTATTTGCTAGAATTAGAAGTATGACTATTTGAATTATATTGAGTATTTTAGTAATATTGATTATTTGGATAAAAACAGTTGAGTAATAACAGAGATCCATCTACATCAATTTAATCTGAATTCATTTATTTATCTTAACTTATCAAAAATAGAAAAACAGAAGAACAAATAAATGTTGTAGGTAATAATTAAAATTTAATATTGCAAAATCCCGTAAATTAATAATAATTATCAATTAATTATTGAAATGTTATGTTTTCCTTTTTTATGAAAGGCCATGACAAATCCAGGCCGTTATTAAACAGCAAACGGTTAAACTACCGTGAAGGCTAATACCATCAATCTTGAATTATGCTTTTAATGTGATTATTTTATGAATACATAATTTTGATCGATATAGTTACCTATATTATTTATTCTTTGTATTAAGAGGCGGATGTCCTTCTATTTCACTGCAAGTAAAGAACAAGTGCAAGCACGAAAAAATTTTAATAACATACAGGGTGTAGGTTAGAGTTGCCACCTTTTTGAAAATGATGCTGATAGGGGTCCTCATCCTTCTACTGAACTTAAAAAAAAGGTTCCTTCCAAAGATATCAAAAAGTAAAACAGGACATATCCCATAAAAAAGGACATTGGACTGTCCTTTTCAAAAAAGGACAGGTGGCAACCTTAATGTAGGTAATTTAAATACTCTCTACTGTCTCTAGTCCAAAGAATATCGAATTAAATAAAGAAAACAGTGGAAAAAAAGGTCTTTTAGTCCTAGCTCTCAGCAAGTTAGAATGCCTTGGATATAAAATAAATATTCTTTTACCCAACCAATATTAAAACCCTGCCTGACGGATAGACTCTTCAGAGTAAAACATGTATATAAAGTAAACTTCTCCCTGAGAAGTATATTATTTTTTTATATTAAATGCCACATTTTTATTCTTAACAATTAAATCAGAGTCAGATAAAGACTGTTCTCTTAAACCACGACAAGCATCCTCTTCTAGTAGTTTTAATAACATATTCAGTCGTAATTGTGGTAAAAGTAGCGCCACAGCTAGTAAGTAAAGTTTCATAAGAGTGTGGAAGCATACCTAAAAGTAGCATAACTTCATTATCGTTTTAGGTCTAATTTATGAACCAATGATTGCATAACACTAACATATTCTTCATACCGAGTTATTTTAAAATTTTAATAGTCTGCTTAAACCAGCAATTTAAAATGCCTTCTCCAAAATAACGCAGGCTTCTTTTGAAGATTTAGCTTTACAACAATTACTAACATAAACAAGCTTTAGAGAAACAATAATTTTGCAAGGGCCCTTTGATAATTCTTAGCATAATTATCTTGACCAAGAACACATTTCCAGATAACATAATCAATGGAACTTCCAATTGTCCTAACTTTTATATTCTTCCAATTTTTCAAAGCCAGATTCTTCAGCAGGTTCCATATAAACTAATATAGCATTGCAGTTATCTTTAGAGTTATCAGAAGAAGTAATGGGTATTAATATTGAACTTGAGAAATAGTTTAGCATCATAAAAACGATTAAACTTTTAATGGTTTTTGGAGAACCAACCTGGGCCTATAATATGTATACTCATTAACAAACTGTACCTTGAAAAAGTATCCTATAGCCAGTTATTTACCTGTTGATCTTTATACGGTTTGGTAACATTATTGACGAAATATGTTACCAAAAGATTAACTTCTTTTAACCACGCCAGTTAAGTGGTAAATTACGC